CTCTCTCTCTCTCTCTCTCTCTCTCTCTCTCTCTCTCTCTCTCCCTCCCTCAAGCAAGTTTTATATTAGCGGCTTCCATTTTCCAGAAGGAAGATTCAAGTGTAGGACTGCAAAAATGGATAGTATTGGGTCAATTTTTGTTGGGGTGACTGAGAAGTTGAACTAGTTCATTGGAAAAGGGGTAGTTGAAGGGTGAGGACCTATTTTAGGCTACTATTATTCAAAAGGGCAGGTTTAAAATGCAGAATATCTGTACATGTGAAATGGTTGCAATCCACCTGTTTGCACAGTGTGATGTGAAATTTGACAACGGCCTACCTTAATGGAGAAAGTGCTCCTACTAGAAGAGTTACAGAAGTAAATGAGTAAAAAAAATTAGAACATCTGAATCCTGATTGGGGATAGTTTCCACAAGAGGCACAACCACAACTGCTTGGGTATCTGGGTATCTGGTGAATGCAGTTGTACACCTAATGATCTCAGATCACTTCCCGCCAATACTTTTAGGTAAGTCTTGCAAGAGTAAAATCAACGGACAAAAATATGTAATGTTGCAAACAGAATGTTACAGCTCATGTCTAATATATTCTGTGAGAATTACAAGTCCTCCAGTTGCAGACAAAATGCAAAGAGCAGCTGAGTAAAACCATGGTATGGAAAATGCAGACCTATGCAATCTTTAACCCATTCAGGCGGACATAATGCATGAGGCATAAACAGCAGCCAGCTAGAAATTACTAATCTCATAAACAGCTCACTGTTGGAAGAACTAAAAGACCAGGTTAGGAATAGATCATCATGGGAAAAAATTGGTTTATGGGGGTTGCTAAAAGTTGAGAACAACTTGAAGGAACGTTACATAATCAGTCAACCATCAATCCATCAAACAGCTTGCCTTGATAGATAATCATGTGACAACATCTGATTGATCACAAGTAGTGGAAACCTGAGTTGAGGCATTAAAAATGATGTCAGAGAAAAGAATAAAACACACAGTAAACTCATGCCACACAGTGAAATTCCCAACAGGACTACACTGTCTCGCTCCAATGCACTTCTGAGTGAATTATTAATATATGTACCGAATCTGGTTTATGCGTGCTTAAAAATATTCTGGTTTTGCATTATGCAAGATGTTATTTGTAAATGTGTTGCAGTTTATATGCGTGAGTAATCCCCATTCCTAAAATTGGGAGGATGATTATGCTGAAAAATGTTTCAAAGGTCTATTATCCTTAAAGTCCTGGGTTGCACTTTCATACATATTGAACATTTTGCTTTCCTTTTCCATAATTCATTTTAATTGGGAAAACTTTTGTGCAGAAAAGATCCCCATAGATTACTGTTTACTGAAACTGAAATCAGAATTGACCAAATTATAATGAACAGCTATCTCAATATGAAGTCCACAATATATACAATACATACAATTCTTCATAAAGAAACATGTGCATCAGCGCAAGTAAGAGGCTATGAGGTGGGGAGTATGAGGTGCAATCTGGAACATATTTTCATTTGCCTGTTCTATTCTAATTTTTGGTCCCAAGAAAGCTGACAGCAAACAAATAATAAAGAAGGAAGGAGGGGAAGCTTTGGATCCAGTGGAACCAGTGATTGACAAGTCGACCCTCCAATCAGAATAATTTGCAATTGCCCAATCACTGATCATTTCATTCAGTGAAAAGAGATAAGAGATGATCTCTGGATAAGAAAGTGGGGAATTTTCTGCTGCATAGACTTAATACTGACACTATCAGTATTAAGTCTGTGCAACGGAAAATTCCCCATTTGAGAAAGTTGCTCTAGAACAGGGCTGTCAAACTCGGGGTCCACAGGCCAAATGTGTCATACGGTGGCCATGCCCATGCCTGGTTTAGCAAATCATGGCACCACATGATGTCCCAATATGTCACATGGTACTGCTATGTTTGACACTCAGGGGTGAGATTCTACCAGTTTGGACCGGTTCGGGTTAAGTTTTCACCTGGTTCGCTGAACCAGTATTTCAACACCCAGATGTTGAGTGACTGAATGAGTAGAAAGTAGTACTATATTACCTGGCAACCAATGTACATTGCGTGCTTCTTTGTTCTTGAATTGAATTGAATTCCTGAATTGGTCTTGTTGGCAGGGAATTTCACAATTATTGTCTGTTTGATTATAGGAAATTACTGCAGCCAACAAATCTGCTGGTTATCAGGAAGTGCCTAGCAACCCATTCATTGTTCTCTCTATTCCTTAAGGGAGAGAATATCTGTATATAGGTAGTCCTTCATTTATGACTGGTTGCTTAGCAACCGTTTTGGGCAGGGGGTTGGACTAGAAGACCTCCAAGGTCCCTCCCACCCAGCCCCTCCCAGGAGTCTCACGCAATGCAGGTAAGTGCAGGGTCCGTGTGGAGGGTCTGGGAGGGGAAAAATGGGCCTTCCAGAAGTCCAGAAACGGGCCTGCTTCCAGCTTCCAGAGGGCCTCCAGAGCCCATGTTTTTGGGGGAGGCCTCCAGATCCTTGGGAAGGTGAAAATCGGCCCTCCCAAAGTTCCAGTAGGCCACACCCACCATTTTTGAATCCCACCCCTGCCCCTATTGCAGAATGATCTGATTTGGATTTAATGTTTTGGTTGGCCAGTCTATATATGCTTAGGAAATTGTAATTTCTCCAATGTTGCAGTCACATTTCTTCTCCCAAAGGTGCTTTTTCTGGAGGTAACTGGACTTTTTTTTTTTTTTTTTTGAAGACGTTTCTTCTCATCCAAGAAGCTTCTTCAGCTCTGACAGGACAGTGGAGAATGGAAGGATTTATATTCCTTGCGGATAGCTGGTCATTTGCATCTTTTTAGAGGGTCATTGAAGCACTTGGAAGTTTATCGGTGTCCTCAAGGTCTCCTGAGTAGTGCTCTTGGTTTCTGTAGTCTGCAATTTTCCCTTTGGAAATCCATTCCTATTCCCATACCATTCCAAGGGTGTTCATCCCAAATTGTATAGCTAAAAGTCTGTAGAGATTCTCAGTCATCCAGATCATGGTTGTCCCAAAGGTGCTTTTTCAGGAGGCAACTGGACTTCCTTTTCTTTTGAAGATGCTTCACTTCAGAACCAGCAGCACTACTCAAGTGACCCTGAGGACACAGATAACCCTCCAAGTGGCCTCAATGACTCTAAAAAGATGCAATTGACCAGCTGTCTGCAAGGATTACAAATCCTTCCATTCCCCACTATCCTAGTCAGAGCTGGAGAAGCTTCTTGGATGAGAAGCGAAACGTCTTCAAAGAAAAAAACAAGAAAGTCCAGTTGCCTCCTGAAAAAAGCACCTTTGGGACAACCTTGACCTGGGTGATTGAGAATCTCTAGACTTTTAGTCACATTTCTTATTCCACTATGAGGAATTGAAAAGGCTGCCTTAACTGCTGATTGGAACACTCTAACCTCACAAAATATATAAATATTTATGGCACACATTACTACACGAAGGGGATTTCTCTGTGTAGCTATTTTCCAAGCTCTAAACTGCTTTGACCGCATCAATCACCCTTAGCAGAATGACGATGTAAGGAAAGACCTGGATTTAGAGCAATCTAGATCTAAGGAGAAATTTCCTGACAACGAGAACAATTATTAGTGGAGCAGCTTGCCTCCAAAAGTTGTAAGTGCTTCATCACTGGAGACCATTTGTCTGAAATTGTATAGGGAGGTCTCCTGCTTGATCAGGAGGTAGAAACAGAAGACCTCCAAGGTGTAAGGTCCAGCCTCTCCCCATCTCCGTCAAAACAAGTATAGACTCTTGAAAACTTTGTATTTCAAAAGGAACCTTATTGAAAAGGGGTGAAAGCAAGTCAGAATTCAGAGCAGGCTCTGAGGTCCCTCCACATACGACTAAAATATAGGAAATTAGAAACCCCTCCCAACAGTCCGATGTGTATTCCACCAATCCGCAGGTGTGAAGATGTTATTGTACCGGTGTATCTGAGGAAGCAGATAAGAAACGTTTTCTTAGGGCTATCTTCCAGCGTTGCAATCCACATGGCCCCCTCCTCCCCTTGCATTCCCTCAAGAGCTGAGAATTTTCCGGGCATTTGAGGCGCCAGGCAATGGTTATAAATCAAGTAAGGTTATGTAAAAGACAAGGCAAGAAATAAGATACTTAGGATACATAGAGAGGAAAAAGAACAAAATGTATCAAATCCAACCCCACCCCACCCCACCGCTGCCCTTTCTTTCACTGAAGAATGGCAGATACACGGGTCTGACAAAAGATCTCTTATATAACTATGTTATTCTGTTGGTCTTCCACCTGCTATGTCAGAGATGCATACATAAATTCTATGTATAAAGCTTAGAAGCTGGAGGTAAGGCTTTTGGTAGATGTGTGCATTTCCATGTATAGACTGTTGTAGGACCAAGAGAGGTGCACAACAGATTTTCATCATTAGTCCCTTAAATGAGAAATGAAAATGCCTGCAATCT